CAAGACTGGTGAGAGAGGTCATATAATAGCGATCCATCATACGGCAGGTAGTATCTCATTGTGGGTTTAATTTGCCTTTCCCTAATGACTAACAATGTATGCTTATCTGTCTTCTCTTGTGAAATAGCTGTTCACATCTTTTGCTCATTTTTTAATTGGGTTGTTTGTTTTCTTACCGTTCTTTATATATTAGGGATACAAGTTCTATATCAGATATGTGACTTGCAAATATTTTCTCCCCATCTGTGGCTTACTTTTTCATTCTCTTAACAGTGCCCTTCACAGAGCAGGAGTGTTTAATATTAAATTAACTTAATATTAAAGTCCAGTTTATGAATTTTTTTCTTTTATGGATTGTGCTTTCTAAAAGTTCTATAGCTTTACATTTAGAGGTATGATCCATTATGTTTTTGTTTTTGTTTTTTAATGGTGTGGGGTTTAGGTTGAGGTTCATGATTTTGCATATGGATATCCAAGTGTTCCAACAATAGGTTGTGTTCTAGGGGTTTTTTTCCCTCTCCTTTAACATTCTTTTGGATTCTTTTTATCAGAATATTTTTGCCCTCTTTCTAGTTTGGAAAGACATGGCTTTTCAGTTCTTTTAGTAGATACAATTGTAGATGATATAACTTACAGTTATAACTTTTCGAAGTCTAATATTAATAAATTTATCCTCTTCAGATAATAAAAGGACCCTTAGAACACTTAAATGCCATCCCCTGGTATTATATGCTATTGTCCTGTATTTTAATTTTTTTTTTTTTTAACCCACAAGTTACTGTTCTTTTACATAGTCAGTACTTGTTTGGAGTTTTTCATAAAATTTTCTTTTTTGGTCTTCATTTTATCTTTCAACTCAAACCTTACAAATGGGGTTATTTTTCTTTTGCCTGAAATACGGTGAATATGAGGTAGAAAATAGTAAGTTCTATAGGAATGAAAAGACATTAGCCTTGGAGGCCAGCCGACTTGGCTTTGAATCCCAACCCCATCTCTACTGGTTATTCTCTGTCAAGCTACTGAACTTGCTTAGTAAGGTTATTTTTTTATCTATTGATTAGAGAAAGTAATGTCTGCCTCATAAAATAGTTCAAAGGATTAGATATTTAAAACTGAGAAGCTATTTTAGCTCCAGACTTGTAATATCTATATCTGACCGACTATTTAATACCTCCTTTTGAATGTCTCAAAGCCATTTTAACCTCAAGTCCACAAGTCCAAAACCTAACTTTTGTGAACCCTCTTCTAGATTTTTTTATATTTCCAGGAACTGTACAACAATCTCTCCAGCCAGAAATCTGAGTCACCTCCCGCTCCTTACCCCATTATCCAGTCCACCCAGAGCTATTGAAATTACACCATAAATTTTTTTCTCAAATTAGTCCACTTACCTTCACTGCCACCACCCTAGGTCAAGCTATCATCATCTCTCTTTTATTGGCTACTGTAACAGCCTTCTGACTTCCTGCATCTGTTCTCTCTGTCTGTCCCACACCCAGGCAGAGTAAACTTTTTGAAATTTACATATGGGTCACTTTCCTGCTTAAAACTTTTCAGCAAATTTCCATTATCCTTAGTCTAGAGATAAAATCCTTCATGGCATACTCTTGGTACTTGGCTCTGTGTGATTATTTGGTTAATGTTGCCCTTGTTCTGCCTTGCTCCCAATTGTGTTCCCAAGGCCTAGCACAATACTTATCCATAGTAGATGCTCAACTACTTAAGGGATGAATACAGGTAGGAATGTATGAAAGAACCAAATCAATATTGAGAAGTTTAGGCTGTTCTGTTAATGCTGCATATGAGTATACATACATATTTATAGAAGTGCACATGAAATACTATTTCTGAATAAAACTGGCTATTCTATAGGGTCGCTATGAGTCGGTATCGACTTGATGGCAACGGGTTTGGTTTTTGATTTGGTTTATCTTTGATTTCTTCTCTTTTCTCTCTTTCTATATCTCCTTTATATTTCCATTCTATCACCTCCCACCCCTCCTGGCACCATTTTACTTATCTGAAGTTGCTGAGCCATTGTTCAAGAAACCCATTTAATCTTCCCCATATATAATTAATGGAGGCCAACCATTTGAAATTTATGTGAATGCTTCTACTATAAGCAGATCATTTGGTATGCATGACAGTAAAGTGAAGCACCTCTTTGGGGTACGGCAAAACAGTTAGCTAGTTGTCTTCCCAGTGGAGAATCAGATCTACCAGTTAATAAATTAGGTCCCAGCTGATGAGGCCCAAAGCTGCAAGGGTCGTTCAGACAAGTACCTGAGAATCACTGCAGTTTTCATTAGTCTTACTCTGCTCTTTACAGAGAATACCAAGACCTTAAAAGGATAGAGGAAGACTGAGTGTGATACATGGACTAGTAAATAGTATACAGGAGTTGAGTATTTTCCATGTGAGCCAGGTGGTTTCCAGGAGAAATGAGGTCTCATTTTGTAATGTCATGTCCATCTATGAGTGATTATTAGAGTCTGGGAATTAACCACACCTCCTATAATTTTTGTGTTTTAAAGAAAACTAAGATTGAAGACTCCAGTTTTAAAGGTAAGTTTCTGCTTATTAGCTTTCACTAAGGACCTATGGCATAGTAGTTGTTTAATAATAATTTACATGTGTTTGGTATTTCTGATCCCTTTTTGGAAGATCATCTTACTGGATCCCTTCCTTTCAATCTGAAAGTGCAGTTAGGCAGGTTTTATAAGTTATGAAGTAAAACTGACAGAAACCCAACTGAGATGTTGCAGCCAACTAGGGATTTTAACCTAGGACTCCACTATTTTCATCATCCTATTGTACCTAGTCCCAGTTAATAAATTTGAGTTGGTTTTATGAACTTCTTAAGTTGATAGGGGAAAAGCTTTGAGGTCCACAGGAAAAGGATGCCTTAAAAACCAAAAACCAAACCCACTGGCATGAAGTCAGTTCTGACACGTAGTGACTTTATAGGACAGAATAGAACTGCCCCATAGGGTTTCCAAGGCTGTACATCTTTACGTAAACAGACTGCTACATCTTTCTCCTGGGGAGTGGCTAGTAGGTTTAAGCCACTGGCCTTTTGGTTAGCAGCCAAGGGCTTTAACCACTGTGCCATTAGGGCAACTTTTCAACAGGAAGAGCAAAGCTGCCTGTAAAGGAACATAGAGACTGAAGAAAAACATGTTTCTCCCAAAGAAATGGCTGAGAATTTTAAAGTTTAGTGTCATTAAAAGTCATAAATTCCTAGGTACAATATTTCTATTGGTTTACTGTTGTATATACTGTCTTGGCTTTTTTCATATACACAGACCTAACTCTATATACCCATCTTCCTAGTGTCTTTTGCTGCTGATAATGCAGACATAGTAATCACATAAAAAGTCGGTAATACTATGGCCTTGTTTCTTTGGGAAGAAGAAAATCACCAGAAAAGTATCTGCTTTCTTGTTTTTTTGTTTGAGTATTGTGTGTGTTTTTATACTTTTTACCAGTATTACATGAACATGAACTGAGTGCTAATTAACGTCACCTAGATTGTTTTGTAAAAACAGAAAATTAGGGAATGATTTTTAAAGATGGTTTCAGTCCGCTTTTTAATAAATACTTGAATGCCTTTATTGTTTTCTGGCTATTTAGATTGTGCTCATGGGACCCCGGGGATTTGAGTTGAACAGAGGCAATTTATGGGAGTTTTGTGGGTGGGAGAAGTCATAAGTAGAAACATGGATCTTTTCATCTCTTATTTTAGGGTGCAGGTCATGACTATGAACTTGTGTTTGTCACACATCTGGAATATAGTATTAACCCCCATCCCAATCACTCTCTAAAAATCTTTCTCTCTTAGCCTTAAGCCAGTGAAACCAGGGGGCATGAAGAGGTGTCTCTTCTGGCTTATTTGCGCATGGTAGCTAAGCTCCAGCTTAAACACAGCTTTTGAAAGACAAACAGTTTGTCATAAGTGAGTCTGTTTAGAGCTCTCAAATAGGTACTATTCTAAATATTTTACATTTATTAACTCATTCAATCCTCAACACAAATCTGTGAGGTATAAATAGTTATCCTTTTTCATAGTCTGCTACCAGGCTGACTGGGTTTGCAGCTTGGCTCCTTCGTCTAGCTCTGTGTCCTTCAGCAAGTTTTTAAAAAAAAAAAATCATTGCCATCGAGTTGAATCCTACTCATAGCGAACCTATAGGGTAGACTAGAACTGCTCCCACAGGGTTTCCAAGGCTGCAAATTTTCACAGAAGCAGACTGTTACATCTTTCTCCCTCAGAGTGGCTGGTGGGTTCAAATTGCCAGCTTTGCAGTTAGCAGCTGAGCACTTAACCACTGTGCCACCAGGGCTCCTTTTAGCAATTTACTTTTTTTTTTTTTTTTTTTTTTAAGTTTTCTCATCTGTGAAATGGGGATAATGGTAACTTCCTCACCACTTTGAAAGGAGCCCTGGTGGCACAGTGATTAAGCACTAGACTGCTAACCGAGAGGTCAGCGGTTGCCACTCCATGGGGAGAAAGATGTGGCAGTCTGCTTCTGTAAAGATTTACTTGCCTTGAAAACCCTGTGAAGCAGTCCTTCTCTGTCTATAGGGTCGCTATGAGTCGGAATCCACTGGACAACAATGGGTTTACGGGTCACCACTTCCAAGGAGTAAGGTTTAACTGAAATAATCTGTGTAAAGCATTTAGAACATAGACCAGTATCTAGCACATAATGAATGCTTATAAGTGTTAACTATTGTTGTCTAACTAGTTTACAATTATATGGTAAAAAAAAAAAAAAAGGATCACTGTCACAGGAATCAGAAACATGTTTTCTGATCCCCTGCACTGCTATTAATTAGCTATGTCATTGTGAGTAAATCTATCTCTATGAGCTTCAGTTTTCCTATACTTGTTGTTTTAAACTTTTTATTTGAAAATAATTTTAAATTTACAAAAACTGCAGAAATAAAAATAGTACAAAGAACATCTGTGTTCCCTTTACAGAGATTTACCTGTGACAATGCTTCACTCCATTTGCTTTATCTTTTGTGTGTGTGCTTTCAGGCACAGTCTATGTATATGCACATGCACACACGGCGGCACACAATTTTTTGTTAGCCACTTGAGGGTAAGTTATATACGTCATGATCCGTCACCCCTAATTACTTCAGGAAGATTTCTTAAGAATAGATGTATTAACTGCTGTGGTTATGTAACAATTTATCTGCCATCTATATTCTAGTTTTGTCTGTTGACCTGACAGCATTGTACTTTATAGATTTCACCCCTCCAGTGCAGTATGCAGTCTAGGGTAAGGTATTGCATTTAGTTTTCACATCCCTGTCTTTTATGAGCATCGACATTTTTGAAGAGTACAGTATCCCCTCCCTCCCCCTTTTTTTTTGATAGAACCTTCCTCATTTTCTGTTCGTTCATTATTTCCCTGTGATTAGATTGAGGTTATACAGTCTTGGCCAGAAAACTTTGTAGATGATGTGTCCTTCTCAGGTTATCACATCTGGAGATTCAATAAATAAATACAGAGTAAAGAGAATCAGCAAATGTTATAGAAATTTCAGAGAATGGAGACAGATAGGAATGGTCAAGGAAGACATCATTAAAAAAAGCCTAGTTTACTGATTTGACAGAAATCGTATTTATAAAATAATACCAGTTTCCCCCAGTGTCAGTTTTTGCATTAGCTCAGCTAATGTGTATTACTGTCTCCTACCAGTTTTTAAGCTTGCTCCTGTGTTAAGTAAATCAAGAGGAAACTACTGGTTTCTATCTTTTAATTTAATGAAATCAGGAGAGGTTAAGCTTTTTGGACCACTCTGAAATTTGAAGTGTTTTTTTGGTATGACTTTCAAATGGCAATCAAGAAGACTCTACTGATTATTACATAAATTAAACCCGTTGCCGTCAAGTCGATTCTGATTTCAGCAACCCTGTATAAGGTTCCCCAAATGATTTAGATCAGTATAAAATAACATTGAACTTTGATGCATGAGAACACGTTTTACTTCCTCGTTTTATCAAATATTAGAATCAGACTGACAGTTTTTGTACTCTCCGCCTTGCCACCATTTTAGAATCTTTTAGCACCCCTGCTTAAGCTGTAGAAAGCTGCTGAAAGTACTGTTCTTACCAGTACTTTTGTAGAATGTATAAATAGTGATGGTGCTGATGCTTCTCTCTCATTGCCATTTTTTCCTTCCAGGCCATCTTATAAAAAGCATCTAAACTTAACCACAAGCTACTTCATAGAATATGATTAGGTCCAGTATCAGTTTATTTCTTGAAATTTTTTTTCCATGTCACATGTGGTTGACACAGTTGAGATATATTCTTTCGTTAACAGGTGAGAGAGCCAGAGGTATATTTGAAGATAATTTTTCTTGATTGTAAGATTTTTTTTCTTATACAAATTTAAAAAATAATTAACCGGACTTTGTGTATTTTGTTTCTACAGTTGAAGAAACACAGTCTGAAACAAGGTCTTAGACTCCCAGCTGCCTCTAAAGTCAGTGACTGCTGGATCTCCAAACATCAAGTCCAGCTTTGTTCGCCAACCTGTCTGACATGTCGGGACCCGTGCCAAGCAGGGCCAGAGTTTACACAGATGTTAATACGCACAGACCCCGGGAATACTGGGATTATGAGTCACATGTGGTGGAATGGGGGTAATTGTTCCTGTTTACTTCACTATACTCGCCCGAAGAGCTGAAGCGTATGGATTTGTTGCATAATTTATGTCAGGAAATCTACCTGACTGTGCAACTATAAAACTCAAGATTGAAGTCCTATTGGTGTATTCTTTTGAGCTGCGGATTTGGTTCTTCAGTGAAGAAGCAAAGTATTGCTTTGGCAGATTAACAGTTTTGATGGGTTTACCATTTAAAAATCACTTTATTGTTTTCTTTTCCTTTTCTCTGATTTATGTTTTCTATGTACAAAGCTGGTAACCGTTACCTGTCAGCTTGCTTTCAAGCTAAGGACTTTGCAGATAGGTGAGAATACTTGAGAGACTTAGAGAACGCCAGACTCTTATGTTATTTTGGAGGTCAGAGAATGTTGTCCCGTGATGATACTGAAGGCTGAAACAGTTCTTCAGAGAGGCGTCCTCTTTCTGATAAGAAGCAAAATTAAGTCCTTAAACATTTGCCCTTATCACGTGACTAGGCATGTGTAATAATGGAATTCAGCCCAAATTCCCTCTTGAACAGTTGTAGTCTGCCTGGATTAGCTGTGTTTGCCCTCCTAATTCTCTGTGCAGTCTCATTTGGATGTTTGCATTTCCTGGCCCAGCGTGGTATGTATTTAATTGATTAGGTCATATTTTTTTTTTTTTTTGATAAAAGCATTTTGACATTCAAGTGCAAAAGAGCAATTTTAAAATTCCAAGCTATAGCTCCTATATGCTACATTTTATGTCTATCCATATGCAATTTCTATAGCCTATAAGTGATTAAAGACAGTTTGCTTCCTTAAGTTGTCATAGGGTGTATTTTTAATCCTGATTGGGCCGTGATTCTTAACAGTTAGTAATTGCCTCCCCAGAAAGAGACATTTTGCGTTTTAAAGATACCATCAAGAACCAGTGGAACAATACCAATAAATGTTATCACTGTTGATAATCTAACAGTTCCCCTCATATGTCACAGTCTTTGGAATCTAGATAATATCTCTGTTGAGTTTTTGGCATGGTGCCATTTCTTTGCTTGCATTTGTTTTTTATGGAGGAGGACTCAGCCAGAACTGAGAGCTTCCTTCCCCTGGATCTGCCGTGATTATTACATTTTCCATTGTTCTTAGTACTTTTTGCCTTCTCTGTTCATTCACTTTCTTTTTAGCCTCTTAAAGAAAATGAGTGGCTGGTTTTTTACATACTACATTCTTAGTGTCTCAGCAGGAGTAAACAAAATTTAGGCCTTACTAAAGGGACCGTGGATGGTGCAGGACCGGGCAGTGTTTCGTTCTGTTGTACATAAGGTTGCTATGAGTCGGAACCGACTTAATGACACCTAAAAACAACAACAAGGGACCATGTTTGTCATTCTTGAGAGCAAAATCCTCTAAGTTTGAAGTAAGGGCAGGAGAGAAATCTTCGCATTTCCCTTATTCTTCATCTCTATTATCTCTGATGTTGCTTATTGGTCATGGAATATGGGTAAAAGTTGAAGGGACCCATGACTATGCTTCATGATATGTAGTGTGGTTTGCAAAATCCATTGCATGAACTATCCTCAGAACTTGGCCTGGAGGGCAAGTGAGAGGTCAAGCCTATATGTTTGGAAGCTGCTTATCTACAGGGAGGCCCATTAAAAATCAGCCCCTTAATGTGGCTGAATTGGGCCAGGCACTAGGGGATGGGAGTGTATAAAAATGCATTGATATTCTCCAGGGGAAAGCTGTTTGTTGGAGACATACATAGGACTAGATGTGCATAGTGTGCCAATACAGATGTAAACAATTTGAGATTAGAAAGAATAATTGAAAGGCTTAAATTTTTTTTATCCTAGGATTGAGACACATGTTTTTGGTTGGCCCAATTTAAAAACAAAAACTAATATGATGAAACCAATTTAAGAATTATTTGAAATACCTCATTTCTTTTCACTAGTAATAATGTTTTGTAAGTTGAATTGGTGTTTAATAACGAACTTTTTAATCATTGTGACTTTGGCTTTTGACTTTTTTTTGTTTGCAGAAACCAAGATGACTACCAGCTGGTTCGAAAATTAGGCCGGGGTAAATACAGTGAAGTATTTGAAGCCATCAACATCACAAATAATGAAAAAGTCGTTGTTAAAATTCTCAAGGTTAGTGCAAGAAGTGATAAATTATGATTTTAGAGGTATATGTAATCTCGATTTTAAATATTAATAGTGATGTCTCTTTTGAATAGCATTTTAAAGGCTTTTGAGGTGCTTTGAGACCTTTATTGTATCCTCTGAGGTAGATAGAACAAGTATCTTCATTTGACAGATCAGGAGACAGGCAAGAGAAGTGATTTAACTAATAGCCAGATTGTGACAGAGGAAGGGGATAAAGGTTAGGTCTCCTCTCCAAAGTCTTGTCTAATACTGATTTCATGTTTTTTAGCTTTATTGCATGCTTTTGTTTTTAATAAAAAATTATTACCTCTACTGCGTAAGGATGAAGAGTCAGGCTTTTAGGGGTCAGGCAGGTGGCAAATGTAGCTAGTCTGAGGTATATACCCATGCTTAGATGATGTGAGTGGTAGGGACTATGGCAAACAGGGAAGCACGTGTCTCATCAAAAGAAGATAGCTGCTTTCAGCTCCAGCTGATTATTGAGCCCTGCAGTAATGCAGGTCTACTGTTGCTTGATATTCTGTTTGGAAGTTTTTATTTGTGTATGAATTCTCCTGATTCTTAAATGCCTACTCAGGAGTTTTTAAAAACACTGCACGAGCCAGATTTGGCCAATGGACTAGCAGTATGCAACTTGTAATTTAGTTATAACTGTATTGCACACTATCATATATCAGGAACTTAGCATATAGTTCCTTGCCACAGGAACTTCTCTGTATTTGACACTGAGAAGCAGAGGTTTCCAAACTTTCTCGATTTATAGCACCCCTAGTGTCTCAGTAATATTTTTATGGTATCCCTAAACCAAAAGAAATACCTAACACTTCTGTATATTAAGTGTAGTTAGGTCCAAATAACTAACTAAGTATTTGTGTTTTAACACCTTGGTAGCCGTTTAAAGTTACATACATAAATTGAAAGAAAAAAGAAGTCATTTTATTTTGTTCTTAAACCAAAACCTCTTATGGTCGTTGATTCTGACTCATAGCAACCCTACAGGGCAGAGTAGAACTGCCCCATTAGGGTTTTCAAGGAGTGGCTGATGGATTCAAACTGCCGACCCTTTGGTTAGCAGCCGAGGTATTAACCATTGAGCCACCAAGGCTACATTTTGTTCTTGTATGACCAGTTAATTACTAATGGGATATTTACACCTATTAGGCTTCTCAGATGTTACAATCAGATATGACATCACTACCCTCATTTCCTGTTTCACGTTGATTTTTGCACAGTACTTTTTACCACAGCAGCCACTGAATGTCCAGCTTCACAAAGATATAATATCACCAAAAGGAATATAGTGCAATCTAATGAAACAATGAACTACCTCAAGCTAGTGGTTCACTCAGTGGTAGGTATCAAGCATTGGTGTGCTTCCATCAAATATTTAAAATATCCCACAGTGCCAGTGTGAGTTGGAGGTGCCTTCGCACACCATTTGGTAACCAGAAGTTTATCTATCTTGTGACATGTAGAAAGAGAACTAAGCTAGAAATTAGAAGACTTGGATTCTAACTCAAACTAATTATCCTTATTAGTCATTTTTTAACTTAGCTAAGACATGTTTCTTCATCTGTGAAAATGAGATAATCTTTCTTTACCTATCTCAGGGTTGTTAAGAAGATCAAATATAAAATTGTGTATAGAAATATGCTTTGGAGGCTGAAGTTGTATGTAATTATAGAATGTTATTCATTTGGAAAGATACATGATAGAGTAAGGTGATTTTTATTATTTAGAACCACATGAAAGGTGCGGACAGTGAGTCTTCCAGCAGTTCAGAAGAGGGTGGTGGTTAAGAAAAGCTCCCTGGAGCTGTTTTCATTCCCTGAATGGGAAGAAGATTCGGATAGTTATGGGTGGGAGTGGGGAAGCATACCTAGAATGCACTAGAGTAAGAAAAGAAAAGGAGGAAGAAATAAATGAGAGAGAGGTTTCATGTGAAAGATGCCATGTGACCACACCCAGGAGGTGGACTTGGAAAGGGAGATTAGATCTGTGAAGGCCTGGAAAAGATAATCTCTGCATTTCCTTCCAGCCTTAAAAATTATATCTTCATCTCCTCTAGCTAGTTGGGAGCCGTTGATGGTTTTGAGTGGAGGATGATTTGGGAAGTTGTATGTCTCTCCCCACCGCCCCAGCTCAGTCTTAACCTTTACTGTGTATTTTTCTATAACTGTATAGGTAGAGGAGCCGTGGTGGTGCTATATGTACACGTATATGTTGTATTAACTACAGATGAAGTTTATTCATAAACCATAGTTTATTTTTTTATCTCCCCCCTCTTTTTTTATTTAATAAGACAAATTTGCTTGATGTGTTAAGTTAGGGTCTAAGGCATCTGCCTAGTCTGTCACAAACCAGCTTTTTAAGTTTTATAGATTTTAAGGATTCTGTGGAATGAAAGTTTTGGAAACCAGTAGCTGTTGCCATAGGCCAGCAATTGGAAAATTATGATTTAGGAGAAAATAGATGAATTGATGGGTTAGCTTCTGGAAGCTGTAAAGCTCTCCCAGATACTCTGTTGTTGTGTGCCATCGAGTCAATTCTGACTCATAGTGACCCTATAGGACAGGATAGAACTGCCCAATAGGGTTTCCTAGGCTGAAATCTATGAGAGCAGATGGGCAGGTCTTTTTTCCCACAGAGCAGCTGGTGGGTTCCAATGGCCGACCTTTGGGTTAGTAGGTGAGTACTTAATTATTGGGTCACCAGGGCTTGTTCCCAGATACTGTAGCAAGAAGAGAAAACTTCTGATTGCCTTGTTTCCCAGCCAGTCTCCTATTAGAAGTAAATAAGATCAAATTAAATTTTCTTGACTAGTCCAAAAAGTTCTTAGACTTCCCTTAAATAGTCTTCACCTAGGAATCCTTTCTATTTACCTCTTAATATGCTTTCTAGGCCATCATCTCCATCCCATCTGCCACCTGGCTGATCTTTCTAAACCAAATGTCTGATAGTATTTCTCTAGTTAAAATACTTTATGGCTCCCCATCACATACAGAACAGAATCTCAACACCTTAGTGTAACCAAAACCAAACCTGTTTCTGTCAAGTAGATTCCAATTCATAGCAACCCTATAAGACAGAGTAGAACTGCCCCATACGATTTCCAAGGGATGGCTGATGGATTCGAACTGCCAGTCTTTTGATTAGCAGCTGAGCTCTTAACCACTACACCACCGGGATTCCAGTATAATATATCATATGTTGTATATCTGATGCTGGCCTGTTTCTTCAACCATGTCTTTTGCCATTCCCTGACACTCTGGCCCTATTGCTTATTTCTGCCTTTGCAAGCCATTCCATATGCTACCTGGAAGGCCCTTTGTCTTTCTCCCTTTTGTCAACTTTAAGAACTCCCGCTCATCTATTATAGATCTCATCTCAGCCATTCATTTCCTCTATAAAATTCTCCCTGGACCCTTTATGTGGAAAGGTGCTTCTCTATATCCACAGCATCTTGCCTCGCTTCAATTAGAACTCAATACAGTGGGTTGTAATTTTATGTTTATTTGACTGCCTCACTGTACTGGGCACTTCTTGGAGCAGAGAGCTGTATTTTTGTTCTCCCAATGCTTAGCGCAAAACAGCCCAGGTAGGAAATCATTTGGGTTTGTTGGCTAAATAAATGAGATATTTTCAGTGTATTTGAGCAATAGAATTTAAGCTTTGGTGGGCTTTTGTTTCAGATATGTTTTTGAGCTTTATAGGAGTCAATTAAATTGTGAATATACAAATACATTAAATGTAGACTATGTGCAAGTCACTATTAGTAAAATATCTTCCGTTTTCTGGGTTTCTGCTTTGCATTAGGCCCTGTAATAACTGTGGTACATATATCCCAACAACTCTGCGATGGAAGCCTATTCCCTTTTCAGCTTTGATAAAAATGAATTTCAGAAACATTAAGTGCTTTTCCCAAAGCTGCACAGCTACGAAGCCAGGTTTTGAGGACTGTGTGGTTCCAAAACCTTGCTTTCTGCTATACTGGAATACAGCCGAGTGGCATACAGGAGTTATGTATGGGCATACTTCTCTTTGGAGGTTCTCAGGAGTTAAGACAGGATTAAAAGAGTTTACAGTATCGTTTGTTAGTTCCTAGGCCTGGATCGTCAACCTGGGAAGTATTTACAAATGGATTCTCAGCCCCATAGAAGTCTAGGTGGGGCTTGGGAATTTGTATAAAAAAATCCAGGTGATTATTGATCATCAAAGTTTAGTAACCACCGATCTCTTTAATGAAGAGGATGAGGTATACTTAAAATATTTTCTAAGAGTTCTGTGCAGTGCATCAGCAGTGTGGGATGACAAAATACCCTAGGAATTCAGAAAAGGACACCAGCATAAGACCTCTGCGGTCCAGTACAGCAGCCACGGGGCCACATGTGACTGTTGACCAGTTGAAATGTGGCTGGTCCGAGTTGAAAAGTGCCAGATTTCAAAGGCTTAGTACAAGAAAAGAATGTAGAGTAGCTCATTAGTAATTTTTTATATTGATTTACATATTGAAATTATAAGATTTTAGATAAATTGTGTTAAATATATTACTAAAATTAATTTTGTCTTTTTTAATGTGTGTACTAGAACATTTAAAATTGCGTATTATATTTTTATTGGACCAGCACTGTCTTAAGAGTATTCAGAAGGAAAGCTTTATGAAGGAGGTACAGTTGGAGAAAGGCCTTCCTCAGAAAAATGAAGAGGATTTCTATACCAGACCAGATGTGGAAATGATGGGTGAGGACAAAGAAATGTGGAAGTCCCTTCAAGGGACTGTACAGACTAGTCTTTTAGAATGGAGGGATTTATTCACAGGTGTATTGGAGATAAGGCTAGACAGATACTATTGTCTGTTAGTCCCACCCAGCCATATTCTGAAGCCTTTTCAGATACTTCAGTTGATTCTTGGAGCAGTCTTATAAGATAGGTACTCTTGTTATCAATTTTACACACAACCAAAGGCTTATAGAAGTTACAGAACTTGCCTCTGGGCACACAGCTGACAGGTAATTAAGCTAGGGTTTACATTAGTCAGTATAAAAGTGGTTTGGCCATCCTTGCAGTTAGCTCTGACTTTCTACACCTATAGGGTGTTTTTAGAGTTAGAGAAAGGGATGGAAAGTGCCTGTGTTTCATCCTGAATGATAAGTTTTGCAAGATACCTTAGTACTACTAACCATTTAATTTGCTAGTTTGGAAAGTTTTAAAAAGTTAACATATTCAAGCTGATAATTGAGATTAATGCTAATTCTACAGAAGTCGGGTTTTTGGAATGGAAATCTTTTTTCTTTCAATTCAACATTTGCTAAGTACCTGCAGAGTGCCTGGCACAGTGCTGGGAGAAGGGAATTCGGAGATGAGCCTGACACATTTCCTTCCTTCAAGGAGCTCATAAGTAAGCCATTTATGTATTATATTACCTGCTGAAATACTCTGAAATGATTTATTTCACTGATGTGCTTTTACCCTTTTAGCCAGTAAAGAAGAAGAAAATCAAGCGTGAAATAAAGATTTTGGAAAATTTGCGAGGCGGTCCCAACATCATCACGCTGGCAGACATTGTAAAAGACCCTGTGGTGAGTATAGTAGGTATTAGCAAGGCCCACCAGAGCTGAGGTGTAGTGTTTGACCCAGATCACAGCTGGCCTCTTTCTGCCTTCCTCTACTGTTAAGTCCTGCTTTAAAGTGCTTGATCAGATCTACCATTTAACTAGCTTGGGTCTTTCATCCAAAGAGATCTCCACCCACAGAATATTTCTTATTCTTCTAGGCTAAGAGACTGATAGCACTGGAAACTGAAATGTGTTAATCCATTTTGCAAATTCAGGTCCGATGCCAATGGGCGATGGGTGTGTTGTCGGGCTGCCTAGAGCCTGGTGAGACTTCAGCTCCATGTCTTCTGTTTGAAATCCATCCCCAAAATGACCTAAGTGTGGTGATCAGAGCGGGGACGCCTTGTAGCAATAGAGGGTTTCTCACTACCAAGGAGAGGACTGCCAAATTCACCATACAGAATCTACAAACATTATGTCCACCGAAACTGCTGGGGCTGTTACTAATGTGTGTTTTCTTTTTTTGTTCCCCTAGTCAAGAACACCTGCCTTGGTTTTTGAACATGTAAACAACACAGACTTTAAGGTATAATATATAACCAACTATTTCAAGTTGTTAGGTTTGTAGACCACCTAGAGAGCCTTTATGAGGGATGCTACTATTAGAAGAGCTTGCTTCTAACTTATGTAAAGAGTTTTTGATCCTTACAGTGCTAAATTTTGATGATAGATAGGAGATGGGAAAAGGCCTGTACAAGCAATGCCCAATTTCCACATCTTGGTATATTGCCCCTTTATTTGTTGCTGTTTTTTAATAACCAGTGTGTTTACTTCTGAGCACTTTTACTACTTGTTTGACAGTTTCCACTGGCATCTAACCTAATGAAGGCAACAACACATGTTCAGTCAGGATCTGACCTTATTGCAATCTACTTTAAAACAATAGTGTTCAAGCATGCATGCATTGTGTATGTTAAAGCAGAAAGTCTGGGCTATAGTTCTTTATAAAGGGAGGGTTTATGTCAAATTCTGCTATAAGATAAACCTCTAGAACAGTTATATCTGAATTCCAGCCCATCCTTTGGGCTTACTTGCTTACTTCAAACACTTCTTAATTCTGCTACCACAGAAGCATATAGGCAGTCTCTTGGGGTACAAGTTGTAAACATATTTTACCTGCCCTGGTGGCTCAGTGGTTGAGAGCTATGGCTGCTAACCAAAAAGGTCGGCATTTCTAGTCTGTCCTATAGAGTCTCTATGAGTTTGAATCGATTCAGTGCCAGTGGGTTTGTTTTGTTTTGTTTTGTTTTGTTTTTGTTTGTTTGTTTTGCACCAGTCCAGTACCAAGAATGTTAAAAATGTCAATCAGTGAATGGGGTGGGGGGAGGGGGAGAAGAATTGTTTTAGCATCAGAAGGATAACCTCAAGAAAAGCTCTGTCAAAAACATCACTAACCATTTAAAGATATGTACATGTAAAAACTTAAAAAAAAAAAACCTCTCAACTCTTTAGAACCTGGAAAGGATACGTAACAGTTGTTCACAAGAATTTACTGTAAGTTTGGAACAGGAATAGTTCTGTAAAATTGGCTCAACAGGTTTGGCAACATGCCAATCTGTATGCCCACTGGTGCTCTGCAGTGCTGACTGTGTGAGCCAAAAATGAGTTAGTTTCCTACTGAAGGGGCTGTGTATTTGCCAAAATGCTTTTTGTGAGAAGGTCTGAAGGTAAATGAAAAGTACTGAATTGCAAGTGTATGTCAGTGCATATTGCCTGTGTAAGTTAGTATGCTCCCACCAGGTTATAGCATCAGCAGTATGAGTTTAAATAGGTCTTCACTTTTGTATGTAGAGTTAAAGACCCAAAGCATCTCTTTAAAGTAAATGTTACATTGGAGAAATAGAGACCAGTGAACAGACAGATGTTGGAACAATGGCAAATGAGTCAGGTCTGGGTTTAAATTACTATGAATGCTTCCCGGCAGCATTGTTTCATAAATCAAATGTTGCATTTGTCTTTAACAGCAATTGTACCAGACGTTAACAGACTATGATATTCGATTTTACATGTATGAGATTCTGAAGGTAAGGGACTTTTGGATACTGTGTATCTTTAGATTGATCTTTCCTTCGTTAAATAGTCCAGTTCAGTGGAAAGGCCAGTGAATTAACTTTTTAAAGTATACTGAAAGAAGGGACCTTTACATTTTTAATAAGTTAGTAGTATCAGAACCCTTATGCAAATAATACAAGGGTTATGAAGTAGGGTCTACTAGGAGTATAATTTATAATGCTTAGAAAGGGTATTTGGAAGAGAGCTGGAACCCCTTTACAAATATTTGTAACCTCCATCATGCCCCCTAAGCAAGTTACAATTAAATTGTCAAAAGTTGTAAAAACAGTTCCTGATATGCTGGCTTCTGGTGTGCTTTATTTGATTTAGGATTCAACAAGCAAAATAATAAACTTTAACTTGGCTCTCAAAGGATCATTGTCCTAAGGATTGTGTAAATCTCTGCTTAGATTGCTGATTGAAAGTGGACTCTGATTTCTAAAGTGGAATCACCGAATACCTTAATCCCAGTAGTCAGAAGATCAGCTTCATAGATGAGAGAATTGCTAAGAGTTGGCCAAGATGCCTTACTGAATGAGGGTTGCCATAAAGCCTGTCTTTTGAACCTTAGAAGCACTCTAAAGAGATCATGCCAGCAGAGATACTTGATCTTTCCATAGTCTTATGCAGTCTTGTGGCAAGCAGGGCTTCGGAAAGTATGGATATGCTTGCCTAACCCTGGAAACCATAGGAACCCAAGTTGCCCTTCAGGAAGGACAAGAAGTTGAGTCGCTGACATCAGCTGACCGAAAGACCAGGATTAGCAAACCCTAAAGGTTACAGCACTCTATTCCCTTAGTTTGAGGTTGGAAACTCTAACTCAGAGGTTGGAAAACTTCATTTTAAAGGGCCAAATAGTAGATATTTTAAGTTTGCAGGCCGTAAGGTCTTTGTCACACTACTTAACTCTTCTGTTGTAGCACGAGAGCAGTAATAGATAATAAGCAAACAAATAGACATGACTGTACTCCAATAAAGCATTCACAAAAATAGGCAGTAAGTTAGATTTGGCCTGTGGGCTATAGTTTGCCAACCTATGTGGTAGACTCTTACCTGCTAAAGAGTTACTGTACTTTGAATAAGAGGTCTGTAGTACAGACCAATTTTATTCTTTTGAGGCGTCTGTGTTTGTGAAAGCACTCCAGGCTTTGGGTGAGAGAGAAATTGGAAGGAATACAATTGATGTTCCCTTTGGGCCTTTTTGAGCAGAAAGGATGTTGTAACAAAACAACCGTGTCAAGAACAGGACCTGGAATGCAGAGACCTGAGTTTGCATGATTGTGGTATATTGGGCAAGTCTCTGAAGAACAGCTGAGGGGAGTGATTGTGCTAACCCATGGAAGAAAAAGTAAAGGACTTTAATTGTAAACATTTTACTCTTACGCAAGTTAACTCTTTCCTTTCTTACCTCTTCCTTTCACAGGCCCTGGATTATTGTCACAGCATGGGAATTATGCACAGAGATGTGAAGCCCCATAATGTCATGATTGACCATGAGCACAGAAAGGTAAAGTGATAGATTATTTATCTGCGTGATAGGGTTAACAGACCATCTTCAACACTTAATCCCCAGCACCTGTCATAGTCTTATTAGGCATTTTATAAATATTTGATGAGTGAATGAACTAATTAACAAATCACCATATTTAAGTCCCTGTTCATATTCCTAAGAATACCTTCAGGAGGGAAGACAGATTAGTATAGTGGGAAAAGCAATAGTCTTGAGTCTTATTTATTGAATAACTAGCTTCCTGGGAAACTCCTTTTTCCTCATTTGCCTCCCTTTTCTTACCTGTGCAGTGGGTGTAATAATACTTGTCCTGCATATGTCACTAGGTTATCATGAGAATTGAGTGTACTCGCTTGTGAAATGGATGAAACATTCAGGAAATGCTGCTTGTTATTAGCAAGTGTCATGAAGCCCTTGACTTCTACAAATGCTTTTACACGAGAGCCGTACTGACCACATACTTTATAACATTTCAGTTTTTTAAGATAACCTAGTGCACGTACCTCTTGCATGCAATGATGACTCTTATCTGTAGGCTTTGGGGCCTTAGGTGGTTCTTTCATTCAACTAATATTTTCTGGACACATACTGTGTAACAGGAATTGTTCTAGAGGCTGAGGATATATGAGTAAACAAAATAGACAAAAAAGGCCTATCCACAGTGAGCTTACATTTGGGGGAGGCTGATGAGATAGAAAGTTATAAGTGATATGAAAAATCAGGAATACGGAATAACAGCGAGTGTTGCAGTTTTAAACAGGATGGTCAGGGAAGATTTCATTGAGAGAACACTTGAAGGGAACCAGCCATGCACTCTCAGGAAGAAGTGTGTCCCAGGCAGGGGAAGAATAGCAAGTGCGAAGGCCGTAAGGCAAGAATGTGCCTGCAGTGTTGGAACAGCAACAGGGATAGAACTGGGGTGGAGTGAAGGGTATAGGGGAGTGGAAGGAAATGAAAGTCAAAGAGGTAGAGAGGACCAGATCATGTAAGACCTTATTGGTCGTAGTCAGGCTTTTTCTCTAGAGAGCTTTTATAAGGTTTGAGCAGAGGGTTGGAATGGTCTCCTTAGATTTTAAAAGAATCAATTTTGGTTTACTACACATCTATTAGAACAACTAAAGTAAAAAAATTGTGACGATACCAAATGCTGGCAAGAGTGCAGAGAAACTGGATCTCTTGTATGTTGCTAATGAGAAAGTGAAATGGTACAGCCACTCTGGAAAATAGTTGTGAGGTTTCTTTAAAAACTGAACATGCTTAACTATACAACCCAGCAGTTGCACTCCTGAGCATTTGTCTCCGAGAAGTGAAAACTTAACGTCTTTACAAAAACCTGTACACAAATGTTCAGCTTGATTTGTAATAGCCCAAAACTGGGGAGAAACCCAAATGTCCTTCATGAGTGAATGGTTAAACAAACTGTGATATATCCATACCTTGTAGTGTTATTACTAATATAGTGTTGCTGAGTATTACTCAGCAACAGAAGGGAAATAACTATTGATATATGCACCAGCTTGGATGGATCTTACTATGCTCAATAAGAAAAAGGCAATCTCAGAAAGTTACATACTGATGATTCCATTTAAATAACATTTTTGAAATGACAGAGTTACATGGGAAGAGAGCAGATGGGGGTTGCCAGGGGTTAGGAAATGGGGAAGGTGTGACTATAAAGGGATAGGACGAACTACATCTGAGGATGATGGAACACTTCTGTATCTTGTGGTGGAGCTTACACGAGTCTACACATGTAATAAAATTGCATAGAACTACACACACACACAC